TGCTTTTGTTGTTTTGTTATTGTGTTAAATGTTTTTGTTGTAGTTTTTGTAATATATTTTATATCCATAGTTAGGTATATATACAGTATGTTAATTCCACTCTACGTGTTCATCATAATCCATACTTATTAAAAGGAGATGTTTTGTTGAGAAATGATTTCAATATTAGTTACAAAATTGGCTTTAATATTATTATTCCTAATTTGCAATAACCTAGTCGTCCAGTCACTGGAAAACTTTTTCAGTTGACAGAAAAGTTGGTGAATGCGTTGACAATTTGTGTATTAACCCCCCCCCCCCCCAGTGCCAAAGTCAATTTCATTCCATTTATATAGTCTGCTATTTTTCTCAGATAATGCTGACATAAAATTGCAAATCTTTTGATCAAAAACAGGAAACAATGCTCCATTTAGTTTGTTTTGTCTGAAATCAAGATTGAACTCGGTGAAAATTTCAAAAAAATGTAGTGCTCAAATAGTTACAATGAATGATACATTTGACACACATGCATATACACATACATTGCTATGCATAGTAAACCATTAGTCCTACTTGTTGAATGCACACAGTCACAACCACCATCAATTTTTAACAGAATATATGCCTAATGTTTTTAAATATTTTGAATTTGATTCTTGTAATGTACTTGTTAAATTAAGTTATCTAATTGACAATGTTTTTTTTATTTAACATATAGTTATGCTAATCAATTTTGTTGCAAAGTAATTTTAAACATGCACATTAAATATCAGATCAACACTGTTTTTTTTATTTCAATGAATGTTTTTATTAGCGGTTTCCATTATTACAATAATTAATATTATAATAATTAAATGATATCGTATATGGATAAAATTTCAAATATTCAAATGTGATTTCAGCCATCTATCAATGCAAATGAATGATTCACACATGTGGAATTCTGAGAACACACTGAGTATGTCTTGTAGCTTACTTAAGTTGTTTGTAATTTGAAATTACTTCTTTATTTTCATCTATTAATTAAATTGACTATGATGAAGCTGTAGTAATGAGAAAGAGTTTTTACTTCCTTTCTCCCAGGGTGCAATTCAACGACATCAGGGCAAAGGTCAAAGTTTTAAAGTGAAACGACAGGCTGAAAACGCAGTAATTATTTATGCATTTTGCTTTTAGTGTTTGTGTTATGTTCGTTTTGTGTTTTTTTTTTTTGCTTTTTTTTGCAATACCCTTGTTTTTAATATCCCATACCATGTTTCAATGCCTTCAACACCAGGTGACAACAGTTCACATTTCCTATCCCTTTTATTGTTTAATTTTATCCACCTGATAACATAGCTTTTGTAATTTCAGTTGTCAAATTCAGTAACTGAAATATTAAATCCACTCAAAACAAAAGTTGGTTGTGGACATCTCACAAGTTCTATAAATTGTTTGGATCAGTTGTGCTTCCAATAGAGCACTTTCAGTAGGGTGATTTACTGTCTAGAAATTTTGTAATGTAACTAGTTGAGCTGCTAGCTACATAATATTATTGGTATAGATTGTTTATAAACACGTAATATGTGGCACCTCAAATACCAGTATTGCTAAATTTGTAGTTGTTATTGAGTCACCACTAAAGAGAAAATAAATAAATAAATTCCTTATCTGAAGTCTTAGTCTTAGTCTTAGCAACTGGTTTGACATGTCATGCTAGAAATTCACGTAGAACATGATTCGTTAGTTTCGTCAGCTGAATATAGAATATCTAAACAAGCCTAGCATGTATTGATGTGCAATCCAGCCTTCTAGAAGATAAAAAATCAATACAAAGGGGAAAATCTAAATAAATTATCCAAATAATATGATTAGTACGACCGGGTATTCATTATTATTTTTTCCTATGTTGCATCGCTGCACTATGCCACGATTACCTAACTGGACTGAATCATAATATTAAATATTCCTGCCTTCCTTCATTTCACCAACTTGGGTGTGATGCTCAGACAATGTATTTCTACAGACAGATCAAATAAATGTCAAACTATGGTGTTAGATTTACAGGTTCAAACCAAAGCCAAGTCACACACACACACACACACACACACACACACACACACACCCATCTGTTGATAATAACACTGTCTTCATGAAAATGAATGTTACCACCAACCAAACTGCAGTTATAATACTTTTTTCTCATTTTCATAGCCAACTGTAGATTATGAAGAACAACCTAGGAAAGAAGAGGAAGGGAAGCAGGTTGTCATGGGCAAGGAGGATGATTACAATTATGATGATGATGATTTTGAGGTAAGGAGTACATTTGTATATGCATTTTGGTTGTAGGTGTGTGTTTGTTGGGTGGGGGTGGGGGTCAGTTTATAGCTATACTAAACTACTATCAGAAATTTGAACACTGACGTCAACTATTGTCATCTTTTAGAAATTACAATTTATCATTTTCCTGTATTTTTATCAATAAATTAAAAAATTTATTAAACAATAATTTATTAAAAAATTACATTAAAATTTAGAACAAAAATGTTAACATGACCAATTATGATGCATAAACGGTTACAATAGGGATGTTAATTTAGCAAAAGTTGGTTGGTTGGTATTTTAATACAAATATCAGGATAATGAGAATGTTCTTGTGATGTTCATACATCATTCCTCCATTATTGCATGCTTTTGATAAATGCTCTTTAAATGTTGATGTCATGGCAACCAATGGTGCATGGTTTTATATAATCACAGAAAGTTCATGACGTATTAGTAGAGCATGTGCTTACATGAATGTCAAATGTGAGTTTATGGTCAAAATGAGTCGTAATGAGCTGTCCCACTATTACCATTGCAACACCTGGAATTTTTTTTTTTTTTTTTTTTTTTGAGTGAAGAGAATCGTCAATTAATCCACCGGCTTGTTTGTTTGTTTTGTTTTTTTGCTTTTATTTGCATCTTTGTGTCAGTAAATATTATTACCAGGAGGTAATAATTTATATTATTATTATTGAAGTTGCATTATAAAATCAATTCCCATAGCTTTAGTGGGGTCTTTGGATTATTATTTGAAATATTTGATGGTGTGTATATGTGCTATGGTTTTGCCTGCATTCACATTTTTTGCTGGTTGCAGTAATTCGGAATGAAAATGATTTTTTTTAATCTACATGCAGAGGAACACCAATTCAGCAGATGAAATTGAACAAACATTCAAAAGGAAATCAAAATGATCTTTGGAATTCATTCACATCTTTGAAATTTGAATGTTATATTTCCCATAATTTACAGCTATAAATTGTTCACATAATTGTTTCAAAAGCACGGCGCTTTGCATTATGAATGATCTCAAGTATACATGGTTGACATTTATTATTATACACCTGTCATCGTAACACCATGCGTTACAGTGTGCTGTAATTTTGCGGTATTGCACTGGGTATTTTCATTCTACCATATTAGGAAATGCGAATTCCAAATATGAAACTATTACGTGCGTAAGCGTCCTAATGAAAAACAAACATGGCTGCCCCATGTTTCTGTTCTAAACGTTTTGGATTTTGGCATTCCCATGATGTATTTCTTGGAGGAAAAGATGTATATAATAATAAGGTTAATACGAGGATACTGCAATGTATGCACTTAGACAGTACATGGTCGCATCAACCTTTGTTGCGTGTCGGTCGATTCCCTGTAATAACCTCATATTATTTTAAAAAAATATATATTCAGCTAAAAATAATTCATGTTCACTTTCATTAATTATGTAGGACTATGATGATGATTTTGAAGATGACGATGGAGATGATGGTGCACCAACTCGTATATTATCTGCCGTAAGTTACAAATATTACACACATCATTCTGTTAGGCTTCATCAAGATCTTCAGATCAGCTGAGTCAAAGGAGATTCATACGATTCATAGGCTATACATTGAAAATGGAAAGGGTGGAAAATATTGTTAGCTTGTGCTGCCCTACATACAAAGATTTGAGGACACTTTGAATTCTCTCCTGTATCACTACAGATTCCCATTATTATCCATATTCTGTACAGTTTACACAGACTTGTATCTAAACCACTAGTCTACAATACTGCATTGTAAACTGAATCACAATCACTGATCAGTGACACTCCTCTGTGTTCAAAGTACCATCTGTTTAAGACAACATGAAAAGTTTATTAATGTTGTTATGGATACCATATTATGAAGACGAAAAACAGAAAGATCTGCACTTGCTGTTGATTTGCGTGATGGAAACTTAATGGAAATGTATTGCTTGTCTTTACACAGCAAGAACGAGAGATGGAGGAGTTACGGAGAGCTTTGGCTGAAGAGAACACATCCTCTAAGCGCAGACAGTATGACAGAGATGATTATGTAAGTTAAATTGTGATAATACTGTATGGTTTCAGTGCCAGAATTTGTACAGCATTTCGATATCATGAATAACAAAAATATCACTACTGAAATTTGACACCATGCTTAATATTAAATTGTACTTTGAGTGTGCCATGTTATCACTTCCATAATGGCATAAATCAAGTCATTATAGTCACAAATCATGTGTAACTTGCAAAATTAAAAACGTTTCTTGTTGAATATTATTGAATAACTTTTTAACTATCATTCTATAATAAACTGAGAATTTGAAGTTAAAGTTAATTATAATATCTATTAGTAAATAATCATTGTTCTGTTTGTTTACAGGCTAGCCAATCACCGTCCAGTGGTATGTATGTGTGTTCTTCCATATATCTCTTTGTTGAATATCTCTATATGTTAAATTAATAATTCTATACCGTACTCATCCAACTTAGTGCCCAGATTACTCAGCTCATGTTTTTTAGAGGATGGGTAGTCAAGCATCTCTCCTCCCCCTTTGAGCAACTATCCAAATGACAATTTTAATTCATCATGTGCCAGATTAGGCAGAATGTTGCCTCTTGTGTCTTTTTTGCGAAAATTGCAAAATGACTTTTACAACAAAGAGAGAGAAATGTTCACCAAACCAAAAATAAGCACATTTTATTACAATATTGTTTTACATACCATCAGAATTTACGGTGTCAAAATTATTAGGGTCTGTGGAAAAACAGTCAAGATCTTTATCATTATTTTCATTGTTGAATGTTTTCAATTGTACGCAAAATTTTGCTGCAAAGTAATTCCCGCTATGATGTTTTTCTGCTTGATTTGAACTGCAACCCAGCCTTCTGATCTGTCAGGTCAAGTCTGTTTTAACCAATCAGAATGCTGTATTGAAATAACACAATTTTCTGATAATTTAAGAATATTGGCACTGCACATTTACTCTGTGACAAAGTTTATTTCGACTCGAACTTTCTTGAAGGATATGTACAAATCTGATAAGCTTATCTGATGTCTTAAGTTTCCTGAATACATTTGTACTTTTGAGAATAAAAGTACATGTATGTTTCAGAGTTTTAGTATTTTAACAAATTTTAAATATTTATTTGTACTTGTAGTTTAAGTGAAGGCTAAAATAATACTCAGGTTTGACTTTTAAACTGTTTTTTTTTTTTCAAATGTCAGATCTTTTTTGAAAAGTCGCTTCTGGCCTGAATGATGGGCAATATTTTTTTTACTGACTTTTTTCTACTAGATACATATCGTCCAAGAACTGGTAGAGGTGGCCGGTCATTCGTCAACTTTGTTGCCGCAACACAGCGAGTGATCAGTGACAAGGTGTCGTCTAAGACTAAAAAACGAGGCAAGGAGTTGATGAGACTGATAGATTTGGACATTGCTTCATTTGATATGTTTGATCTACCACCATTAAAAGAATATGAATTGTATATCAAGAATTTTGGCAGGTCAGACACAAGACAGGTTGGTACCATCTTAAATTTGAAAACTAATTGCAATTAGTGTTAGCTTTTCATGGGGTAATAAAATGGTAGTCTCAGACCCCGTGATTTTATTGCCAACCACTGATTTCAAAGCTACTTGTACTCCAGCATACCAGATGATGATTGTGCTCACGTAGCATGTTCTTCTTCATAACGTGACTGCAAAAACAAGCGTTTGCTGATGTAAGTTTCTAATTTAACTCAACAAATGAATACATTTCTGAGAAAAGAAACCTACTTCATTCAGAATCTCGGCTATAAGCATTGATTACTGTTTTGGTAATTTGTGTCACCCAGAGAATGGATTAGTTTTTGACGTTCTATGTTTGTTTGCATTGACCAGCATAGTGAACACATCTGGTAGACCACTATGCACGCTATTTTTGTTACAATGGAAGATTATTTTATTATCTAGTTGCGATAATAATAAATATTGGGTGTCACAGACCTGAATTTATCACAGGATCTAACTCAAACTTCAAATATAAAAAAAAAGTAAAATTATTTTTGAAACTTGGAATAAAGATAAGGTTTGTATGTAGAGTACAGCATTTATAACAAAGAAACAAAAAATGGGTCGCTTACCTATTTAAAATGGTGTTCATTTTTCAATACGGTAATTTGTGCCATACTAATACATGTGCGATGAAAGGTTTTCTCACATTAAGATGAGTTCCTGGCGTAGAAACTATAACGACCGTATTCAAGTGTTTTCGAGAGTTTCTTGAAAACATTTACATTTATTATCTTTTTGCACAGAGACTCATAGAGTTACACTCAATACAGAGAAGAAAATAAATCCTAAAAAAAATGAAACATTTTCTGGATTACTGCCAGCATAAGATCAATTTTATTCATTCTATCTCAGATTACCAAAGTTCAGTATGCAGTGAACCAAACAACGTTTTCAGTCGCCAAGGTGTAACAACGTGTTGAATTATCCTCAACACATAATTACTCATGTAACATGAATACACAATACAGAGATTGTTTAACTTCTTAAGAACAAACATGTCATGCGGATATTGACACCATCTGACCTCAATCTGACCCCTGTGTGTTATTCATTAACACCTTCAGTTTATCCATGGTTTGCTTAAAGTCTGATGTAATTGGGGTGTCAGCACTGTTTATTTATTCGTGTTTATCATATGCTACGTTCACACGACAGCATTTTATCGGAGCCCAACGGCTCGAGCCAAGTTCGGCTCCACTAAACCCTCGGGGTTGAACACCGAAAGGGTTGAGTCCCGACATGGCTTCGATCGTGTAAACGCATCGGGGCCCAACTATCGGAGCCGAAATCACGCTCTCAATTGTCTTCTTCGAGTAACCTCTCATTTCAATTATGGCGGAGACAACATCTTTCATAATTTCACACAATTTCCCGCTTGAATAAGAGGTACGCGTCCTAATGTATAGTAACGAATCATTGCGATAGGTTGATTGCTCAATGGGAAAAAAAAAATGGTGTACAAAATTATGCGACAAAAACTTGAAAGAACGACTGAACGGAAACTTTTTAAAGACACTAAAGATAAAAATTGTTGAAGTGTTCGCGGTACGGTGACGTGTTCCTGGTAGGTTTAGATTCTTCCATAGTCCCTCTATGGTAGATAGAGAGAATCTGTGATTCTTCCTCGTAGTTTAGATATCACTACAGTTGAATAGTTACAAAATGGTAATTTTGCATGACAATAACTTGAGCGAATAGGCTGTATTAAACGCATTTTAGTTGCCATGTTTCCTGTTTATTCAAGATACTAGTACCTAAATCATAATACCAGTCATTGTCTTTTCTACCTCCATGGTCAGGCTCTTTTTTCTCCTAGCTCAACAGCATCATGAAAAGAAAAAACACAAGCACAACACTAAAATCGTTTTCAGTCACTAATTATTCAAGGGCACTGTTCCGCTCGGCTCTGATCAAACTGAATCTAACTCTGGCAGATCTCGGCTCTCGTTCGGCTCCCGACCGTATGAACACATTATAGATAATCTCCTGTTAATCCGTGGGAGGAGCAGTAGTTCGGCTCGGATAGAATGCTGCCGTGTGAACATATAGCAATAGTCTTTCCCTTAGCTCGAACAACATTCATTTTCAAGGTAGTAAACAAATCGAGCAAGCTGCTAAAACAAATATGATTTCTATAACAAAAAAGAAAATAATGTTAAGGATACTATGATCATCATGGCATATCATTAATGTTTAAGGTTACGTCTAACTCTCTGGATTTAGAAGGAAATAAACTACTAGTACAATGGGTTAATTACCAAGGAAATAGCATTTGTAAGTTATGTAATGATGACATCTAATAAGATGTACATGTGTATATCATTTCCTATTTTTATGCAATGCAACTTTCCACTTAATAAATTTTACTCTAATTTGATCAAAATAGTTTCGAATATTGAGGAATGCCAGACACTAACAAATTGCCTTCTCTCAGAGGGGGGGGGGGGTGAATTTCAAGTTTAAATTTGCTTTTTGGTGACATTCCATGGAATATGAATTGTGGGAGATTGTTTTAAGGAAATGAAAGTTGTATGAATTCATCATGAGATTTATTTTCAAATTTAAATTTTATTCAGTCTCAGTTATGTATGATTTTTTTCTTTTTTTTTTATCTCTTTTGTTTGCTCTTGTTTTCATTCCAAAGGATTCATAAATATTATTATTATTACATTTGTATTATTATTGCTAATGCGTGTACTCAATTTTGGCAAAGTTCACCGAAATACAAACGATGGGAAGGAACATACACTCCCTTCCTTTACATGAAAGAAAGATATTTTTGACAGACTGAAACTTACAAAAATAATAATTTTTTTTTACTACAAAAATTAAAAATCGGTGTTTGTCACTGTCTCTCCCCCAAACGAAATACCTTTCATTCTTTTGTAAGTTTTGACCCTAATAAATGCAATTTTAAACATGGGTTTTGAATGGTTGCAGTTTTGAACACTGTGTTTGTATGTAATATATTATTACTCATGCTTTATTTAGTAATGTACCCCCATTGGTATCAATTCCAGCCGCACTGGTTCTCTAATACTGTATCTATGTGTATTAATTGTAGGCATATGTGCAATGTAATGAAGACAATATTGACAGAGACATACAGACGGAGGATATAGAATACAGACAGAAATGGACTCAGTATCCAGCGGATGATATGATAGGATGTGGAGGTAAGAGCTCCCTCTAGTGCAAGTCCAGTGTAACATACAGTCAAGATTGAATATTTACACTCCTGCGTAGAGTTTGGCAATATACATCCTATAAACAGTGCCCTCTATTGTTGAAATGTTTGTTTGGTCGCATGGTGATTCGTAGCTAGTTCATAAAAAACTTAAATTATCGTACGCTGTGTAATGTGTTTTAATTCAAATACTAATGAGGTCATGGAAACTTCGGATAAACAGAAACCCTAATAATCATTAATAAATATATTCAGCTGCAATACATTAATTTTAAAATTTTAACTGATGAGTGAAGTTAGTGTAATTATGTCAATGGTTTTTTTAAATTGGTACATTAATTTTTAACACCAAACTTTATTAAAAACAATCATTGTACAGTACAGCACACTACAAGCTTTTATTTAGTTTTATGTGCTCTCTGTGATCCACATGTGGATCACAAGTATGTATGTTATGGTATGACCATATTTGGTATGGTATGACCATATTTGGTATGGTATGACCATATAAGGCTGGCATACATTTGTGCAATTGTATCTTTTCACAAGTTAGTGTGTGAAACTCTTCTTTTTAGATTTCAATTTACGTTAACAATACTTTCATTGATGAGTTAATCATGATTGCTATCTTATCCAATCATAGCTGGGTATTTGATCACATGATGTGTAACTCACCAATCATATTGCAGGTGGTGATGGTGATACCATAGATGATGAAGAGGAAGCTATTTACACTGCAAAAAAGAAAGATATAGACTCCGTTAGATTGGTCAACTTTTTACAAAACTCAGGGCAGGTAATATTAGAACTGAACAGTAATCTGGAAATGTCATGCATAATGTACCCTGATGTACCTGTGAATTATGGCTGTGAATTATCACTTTAATTTGCATACCAATCATAGCATGTTTATTATTGCATTTTTACTGCACAAATTCATATCTGATTCTCATTTATTTCTCTTTCCAGGTGGTATCTGTTCTCTTAGAAGAAAACTTAGCAGACAAAACTAGTGGTACATTAACGAACAATCAAAGGCAGATTGTGTTTAGTGAGGGCTATATTGAACTTAATTCAAAACTACCTTTCCTAAAACGTGAGTATTTACAGTTATAAAAAAGGAAAGGAAAACATATTCTACTTTTGTGTTATATTCTGACAAGATTATAATCTGGTTATTACTGATGTGGATAAATACTGTTTGAACTATTAGAAGCACATCTTTAATAGTATCACATATTAACCAAAAATGTCATTTAATGTATAATGGATCATTTAAGTATCATTTCACCTGTACTCATCTGTATCTCAGTTCTTGTTTTATCTTTAAAAAATGCAAATTGGCTTTTCATGCAGCAAAATCCATGCCAACTGATCGTAACTGATCATAATCAACTGATTGTAATTTCTAAGGATGCAATAAAACTTGATTATTATTATTATTAATATTATTATTAGTGCAACCTTGATAATAATAAATTTTATTCCACTGCATTCTGTAATCGCAAATAATCAGAAACTGTCTGTATTGACTTATTCAATAGGTACTATATGCTTGGAATCAAAAAAATATGGCGCTTGCTGAAGTGTTCTAAAGTATTTGTTCACAAAATTACAAACTTGAAGTTTACATATATTTAATAGCAAACCAAAGAAATGATGTTTTTGTATCAAACCATGATTGAATAATAAGCAACCTGTTTTTGTATTTGGTTGTCCTATAGAATACTAAATTGTCACATTGTAATGTCAACCTAATAAAACATATTATGTTTGTCTTCACAGATCGTCATGTTGTGTATCTACATTTCCATCCAGTACAAACGCATTTAATTCTCACTGCCTATAGTATGCCTCAAAAAGTAAGTATATGATCTGGAATAATTATCTCCATTTAGTCTAAAATTGACAATAAACTCATATTGCATCAAATGTAAAATATTATAATTTTTAAAGTATTAAATATTTGAATTATTTTCCAGGCATCATCTAAGAATAAATTATACAGTAAAGGTTTAATCTGTCTATGGAATGTTAATGAACCAACGCGACCTCAGAAGTGAGTAATCAAACAAGTAACTTAATTTGTAATTCTGCAAAAAAGCCATTCCAATCTGTTCTGTGTTAAACTGACCAATAGTATTGGTGGCACAGTTATTGCTCAGTGTATGATCAGCTGTATTTTACATACACTGTATACATCCCATGGGACCCATATTGAACTTATCGTTGTATCACAGATGATGATTATTAATATTTGGTATTTCCATCCAAAACTGGGACTTGTGGTTTGGGCTCCGTCCATGCAGATGTGCATGCTTATATCAAACCTTTTTTTCCACACACAATGTCTGTGCACAACAATTATTTTCTTATAGGTCATTGACTCTTTTACTTTGTCTTTTATCTTATAGGGTCTTATCATGTGAATCTGCTCCACTGTGTTGTTGTTTTAGTCCGTCCAAAGCCACGTTAGCGTTTGCAGGCACAGTCGATGGAACGGCTGTTGTATGGGATTTACGAGAGCCATCATCGATGCATCATACGCACAATATAGAAAGTGAAGAGTGGTTGATACGAATGCCAACATATAGCACTGATGGTATACAATGTGAAGACAACCATCATAGCCCTGTAGTGACAGTCCTACCAATCGTGTCACCCACGGATAGTTTTAAGGCATTGTTACCTAAAGGTGCTGGAGCTGGCAATGTCAGTGGTACGTGGTTTTATTACCTTGCCCGTACCAT